GGCTACCTTTTCTCAAAATATAAGAACGGGTGGAGTGTCGGAGGTTAGAGTGGTAGTGGGTGGTGGGTGGTGGGGGAGGGAATGTCATTCCAGGACATTGAAAAGTGGCTCATGTAAATCTGACCCAAAAGGGAATATTTTCCCAGAGCAGGCACAATTTGCCCTGCGGAACTCATTGCCACAAGGTCTCTCTGGAGCCAAGAGCTTAACAGGATTCCCCAAAGGACTGAACCTTTATAAGCAATAATAATTTAAAAGGGACATAAACTCTCATGCTTCATGTCAGCAACCAATCTCTATCTGATAAACATGAGGAAGAAACTTGCTCCGGGCAGATTCTTCTACAACTACCCATTGTAGGAGCTGGCCACCAGCAGAGTCAAGATTAGATGACACACTAGGGCTACGTCTACACTGGCACCCTTTTCCGGAAATGCTTAAAACGGAACAGTTTTCCGTTATAAGTATTTCCGGAAAAAGCGCGTCTACATTGGCAGGATGCTTTTCCAGAAAAGCACTTTTTCCGGAAAAGCGTCCGTGCCAATGTAGACGTGCTTTTCCGCAAAAAAGCCCCGAACGTCATTTTTGCGATCGGGGCTTTTTTGCGGAAAAGAAATCTGGGCTGTCTACACTGGTCCTTTTCCGGAACAGTTTTCCGGAAAAGGACTTTTGCCCGAACGAGAGCAGCATAGTTTTTCCGGAAAAGCACTGATGATTTTACAGTAGATCGTCAGTGCTTTTCCGGAAATTCAAGGGGCCAGTGTAGACAGCTGGCAAGTTATTCCAGAAAAGCGGCTGATTTTCCGGAATAAGTGGCCAGTGTAGACACAGCCTAGTTGAATCCAGTCTGGCAATTCCTATATTCCCCAGTAATGGTCATCTCTGTATCCCTGTGCCTTTCCAGTTCAGTCTTAAGAGGGTTTCCATACAAGGATGTATTTGGTCTGTGTATAGTAGGGAGATGCATTATCCAGGCAGGAGCAAACTTCCTGTCATCTTCTCTGAAGACAATAAACCTGGTGGTCTGTCTTGCTGGGTTTGTGGCATACTCACAGCAAGCCCATGTGAGGCTAGGATTAGACCCCTTTGCAAGCAATTGCAGTCCACCGAGAGAGAAGATTGTGATTCCGTTGGGTCACAGAAAGAATTAATACATTTGGGGCCTAAGAGTAAACCCATCTTGTCTCGAGTCAACCTCAGATTGACTTCAGTGGGAGTTTTGCCTGAGAAAAGGACACAGGCCAATAATGTCACAGTTGGGTGGTTAAGGGCAGGCATCCAAATATGGATTTAGGAACCTAACTTTTGCCTCGCCTCTTTGTAAATGTTGGTCCTGGCAAAGGCTGTAATGTTTGCGCTACCACGTCATACACAACCAGCATCTACCTCCATAAAAAGAACAAGATAAATTCATGGAGTTTGGGTCCATCAATACCTATTAGCCAGAGTGGGCAGCAATGGTGTCCCGGCCTGTTTGTCAGAGGCTGGGCATGGGTGACGGGGGAGGGATCACTTGATTCCCTGCTCTGTTCACTCCCTCTGGGGCATCTGGCATTGGCCCCTGTCGGCAGACAGGACACTGGCCTAGATGGACCATTGGTCCAACCCAGCATGGCCATTCTTCTGTTCTTAAAGTGCCGGCCAGACTTGTTCAGCAAGGAGGAACCAGGTTTCTTAGCACGGGCGTGTTCCCAAGGGGGCGTTTAGACTCTTGCCTAGCGGGGAACCGTGTGACCTGTATGCCTGTAAATGACATGCTGCCACTGAGCAGTGTCCTCCTCTAATCTAACAGGGGGATCTCTGCTTTCTTGGCAGTGGGATCCTAATGTTACAACCCAGAGGGACCTCTCTACAACCCACCTAGCCATAAAGAAAGGCAGAATGGTCATTGGACCCAATTTGCTTTCTTCCCGGGGGATTGTGACCTCCCCCTTCCAGGTTAGGGGAAGGCCATTTCTAAAATGTATCCTACAGTGCTCACCTCTGGCCCCAAGACCAGGGCCCTCCACAAAAGCCTGCACCCTCACCTGCTTTTGGACTTGCCCTCTTGCAGTTCAGAGCCTTGTTCTCAGTGCTGGAGCCTTTGTCTGCTTTGGCTTCCTCCAAGGAGTTCTTAAACTCCTCCTCTCTGTCCGTCTGGTCCTCTGCCGCGGACTCGCCGGCTGACTGCTCTGACAAGGTGAGCGTGAGCTCCGTGCTCACCTCACTCGGCTGGCTCGGAGGCTTCTCTACATCCGGGGTGGGAGTCTGGCTTTCCAGCGCAAGCGCTTCCGTCTTCCCCTCGCTGTGGTTCCCTTCAGAGTCCTTCTGCTTCTGCAGCTGCTCCTTCTGGAGGCTGCGCTGTTTCTTCCGGAATTTGGCTCTTCTGTTCTTAAACCAAACCTTCGTGTCACAAACAGCAACAGAAGACAGGGTCAAAACCCCAATTAATGCCAAAAAAAAAAAAAAATTAGACTGGGATTATCAAGAGAACCCAAGGTTGGTAAGGACCCAAATCCCACGGCATTTCAATGGAATGTATATATCTAACTCTCTTCGATGCTTTACAAATTCTCAGACATAACGCTGGTTGTTTAAGAAAACACAGCTCTGTTTAAAAAAAAAATCACAGGTAAATAAACCACATTTGTCACCCACAGACATGAGATATTCAATAGGCAGAGAGCACGCTGCTCAGCTGGCTTGCTAAAGCCAGCCTATATTATGTTATTTTGTACCCAAACTATATAGAAACAGTCAGAATAAGACTATTATAGAGGACAGACATATGTGCTAATTATTTCTAATTATTTGACTTGAATGATTTGTTGAATGGACTTAAATAACCTCTGATGTAGAGCTTTTCATCTCAGTGTCTCTCGGAGCTCTTTAAAATTTTGTTCTATAGCCTTAGCCCCATTTTATAGATTGGGAAAACTGAGGCACAGGATGTGACTTACCCAAGGTCACCTGGCAGGCCAGTGGCAGAGCTGGGTGTCATGATTATGAGGGTTAGCCAGCAGCCTGGGGATTAAGGGGTTAACTACACCTAGCCAGGTGGAGTGACCAATAGGAATGTAGGTGGGACTTTTCAAACTGGGACAAAGGAATTTGGGTTTTTTCTTTTTTTCTCCCTTTTGTCTCTCTGTGAGCTCTCTGCAACTACAGAGAGGGACAAGCATGTCTCTCTCTCTCTCCAAGACACCATCCTTCATTTTCTGTAAGTAGGGTAAAGTTTAGGCTTCGTTAGGTTTTATTGTTTTAAGGATTGGGTATGAGATCTGAGATCTGGCACTGTGTAAAAGATGTTTTGGCTTTTCTTTGTAACTAAGTTCTAGGCCCATGGAGTTTCTCCATGAGTATATTTTGTTACCTCCCTATCTAGTCATTATGTTGCACATGTCTCTCTCTCTCTCCAAGACATCATTCTTCATTTTCTGTAAGTAGGGTAAAGTTTAGGTAGTTTCGTTAGGTTTTATTGTTTTATGGATTGGGTATGGGATCTGAGATCTGGCACTGTTTAAAAGATGTTTTGGCTTTTCTTTGTAACTAAGTTCTAGGCCCATGGAGTTTCTCCATGCGTATATTTTGTTACCTCCCTATCTAGTCATTATGGTTGCAACAGGAATATTGTTGTAATAATAAAAGTTCTTTCTTTTCTTTTTATTAACCTGGCAGTGGTTAATTGTGTGCCTTGATTTTTATTTTAGGGGTAAGATTTCCCAAATGATCTTTCCCCTGATTTCTTTATCAACATTTGGGTGGTGGCAGCGGAAGTTTTATTCCCAAGATCTAGGTTTTTAAGATTTTGGGGGAAGTTTTATACCAAAGCCTGGTAGATAAGGCTTTGGGGTACACTTGCTGGCCCCCACTTCTGCATTTATCATGCCAGAGTGGGGAAGGAGCCATGACACTGGGAATAGAACCCACCTGTCCTGAATCAGAGTGCTCTGTATACTAGAATACTCTAGACCGTAAGCTCTTTGGGGTTGCGGCATGAAGTATGTGTGTGCATGCACACATAGTAACTAGCACTAATATCTTGATCCCCGACTCTGATCTCTAAGCACCACCACAAAACAAATTATCAGCTTTGCAATTTGACCTCATTATGCACGTTGTATACAACCCCCTTCTGTGATCAATACAGCTCAGCGATGCTATTTTCTTGTTCCATGGCTGAACTGGGAATCAGATCTTGCATGGTTTGTACCCCTGTTGGGCCCAATATGTATTATCTGTATGATGCCATATGTCACATTAAGATAACTGGGCTCATTTTTATATAGTCGAGAATTGTCTGATGTCCCAGGCCAGGTCAGGTGGTAAGGAAGTTTCCTTGTTAGGAATTGAATCAATAACGTTGAGGAGCAAAATCAAAAGTTCTTGTTAGAAACAGGAGACTTCCTGTAATTTAATACTAGTATAATCTCTGTTCACAACTCCAAGTCGCTAGAGGGTGAGACCTTTTTGAACACGATATCCCAATGTATCTCAATTTGGGAATAAATTCAGAAAAAGACAACCTACTCAGGATTGTAATTCGTAGACTCCAAGGCCAGAACGGACCATTGGAATCGATATATAGTGCAGATCAGAGAACTCCGGCAAAATAATTCCCATAGCAGAATTTTGAGAAAAACACCCAGTCTTGATTCAAAAATCAATGGTAGAGAATCTAACATAACTTCTGGTAAATTGTTCCAATGGTTAATTACTGTCACCCTCAAGAATGCCTTGTTTAGTCTGAATTTGTCTACTCTCAAGTTCCAGCTAGTGGGTTGTGTTATATCATTTTCTGTTACACTGAAATTTTATGTCCCTTTCCCATGGGAATGGGCGTCAGGGGAGGGACCGCTTGATGATTACCTATTGCTGTTCATTCCCTCTGGCTCTTCTGGCATTGGCCACTGCTGGAAGACAGGATACTGGTCTCGATAAACCTTTGATCTAGCCCACTCTGGCTGTTCTTATGTTCTTATTTGTCTCAGTTAAGGCTGGCCTGCTATCCTAGTGCTTTATATCCACACTGAGCTGTCTTCTGTGATATCAGTAAGTCATTCAACACATTATTTGCAGGGATAGGTGGGAAATGATTTTTCCCATCCCACAAGAATTTAAGATTTTGAAGAATATGTTAGTCACGAATTGCTACACAAAGTCAAATTCTGATTTTCATGGGCAAAAAAATAAGTTCAGATCAATCAAAATAGAATTGTCAAAAACAAAACCTTATCTTGGTTTTGATTTTTGTCCTTTCTGTTTTCCTTTTTTTTTTTAAAAAAAAACCGTGCATTTCTCAACAATTTCTTCGTTGCATCTGACAAAGTGGGTCTTTGCCCACGAAAGCTGATGCTCCAATACATCGGTTAGTCTATAAGATGCCCCAGGACTTCTCATTGTTTATTTCTCAACAAGTGTCACTTTGTTCCATAGCTCAGGACTTCATATTTTGTTGCTTTGAAATTGTCCCATTTTGACAATTTCTAAGATTTTTTTTTATTTTAAAGAATTCATAAGAACATAAGAATGGCCGTACTGGGTCAGACCAAAGGTCCTTCTTGCCCAGTATCCTGTCTGCCGACAGTGGCCAGCACCAGATGCCCTAGAGAGGGTGGACCGAAGACACGATCAAGCGATTTGTCTCCTGCCATCCCTCTCCAGCCTCTGACAGACAGAGGCCAAGGACACCATTTTATCCCCTGGCTAATAGCCTTTTATGGACCTAACCTCCATGAAATTATCTAGTTTCTCTTTAACCTCTGTTATAGTCCTAACCTTCACAGCCTCCTCTGGCAAGGAGTTCCACAGGTTGACTACACGCTGTGTAAAGAAGAACTTTCTTTTATTAGTTTTAAACCTGCTACCCATTAATTTCATTTGGTGTCCTCTAGTTCTTCTATTTAGGGAACTAATAAATAACTTTTCCTTATCAGCCCTCTCCACACCACTCATGATTTTATAGACCTCTATCATATCCCTCCTCAGTCTCCTCTTCTGTAAACTGAAATTCAAACTGAGAAACTCCTCAAACCCAACCTTTCCCTTCAGACAACCTCAGTTCTGATGAACTGGCATTTTCCACTGCAAAAAGGTTTGTGAAAAAATTCCGAACCAACTCTACTTATTTGTTTCACTGGAGGAGAACAGAAAATGTTGGACAGATGGTCTGAGATGTTATAAATATTGACATTGTTGAGAGAGAACAGCTGGAATTACTTGGGCTCCCAGGCCACGGAGGATGCCAGAAAAACAGTCATCTACGTAAATAAATAAATAAGTCGACTTTTGTGGCCATTTCTAAGATATCCTCTTAAAGAGACTTAGAAACACAAATGAAAGCCAGGGCTACCCTCAAACAATACAAACCCTCAAAAATGTGTGTGGATTCAGTTTATTTTTTTTGTGGTTCCCCAAGTCTGAAGCAAAGATTTATGTCCAGGTTTTGCTGCAGAAAAAACCCTCTTCCTTTGGTTGCTATGAAAGTATCTTTAAAGAGCTACCCCTCGAGCCAACCTAGCGGACCCTCTTCGTATAGCTCTTAACTAACCCTATTGGAGAAAGCAAGGTAGAACATGCTGATACCTGTACTCTGGCTTCTGGTAGGTTGGTGCACATGGCCAGTCGTTCCCGCATGACCACATCTGGATAGTGAGTCTTCTGGAATGTCTTCTCCAGGGCTTCCAGCTGTTGGGCGGTAAAGGCTGTGCGGCTTCTCCTTTGTTTGCGATGCTGGGATCCATAACGGGCCTCCAAAATGATGTCTTGAAATGTACAGCCGTTGGAAGACAAGAAAAGTGGCCAATTTAATTATTGGAATTTGCCTGTGGACACCTGAAAGAAGACCTCCGGCACTGGCACCAAACAAGGAGGTGTAAAGGCAGAGCAGTTCTCTAGATGGCCTTGTTCTTGCTCTTATTGAACAATACTGCAGAGTCAGGCTCTGTATGAACTGATAGGGGAGAATGTGTAACTTGTAAAATATTTTTTGGGGCAGGGGTTAGCTTCAACCATTAGAAGTCATTAGAAGGACTAGAGGTCGCTTTGGCCCTTGTTGTCGCAAAGCACTAACTTGGAGAGCCAGACTTTAAGGAAGTGGTGGACAACCAGCAGACCACTTGTGGCCTATTGGGGTTCTATATGTGGCCAGCCAAATATTCTGTGTACCATTGTCCGGGCACAAGGTTACCAGCTTCCACTGGTTTCTGTCTACATAGTTTTGTTCCTACCGGTTTTACTAAAGTGACATGCATGTAAAGCAAGCACACATGAAGTGAGGTGTGTGCTAAATGCACACAACATTGGTTGTGAGAGCTGGGTGCATCCTCTGCAGCCAATCAAAGCACTGCTATGGTTCAAATTGGCACATACCCGCAAATTCTAGGTGTGGAAACGCAGAGAGCAAAACTGCCCTATCCCAGGAAATTGTCTTGATTAGGACAATCATGTGGCCTAATGAGATGGAGACCCACTTATGCGACCCACTCACTAGCCGAGGTTGCCCATCACTGCTTTATGGTCATGGGTGCTGATTCAGAAAGAAACATACGCATATGCATAAATCCCATTGATTTCAATGCACATGCTGAAGTGCTTTTCTAAATAGGGATGCTTGAGTAAGTGAAAATTATCTTCTATATTTCCTCCGTCTCAGGTCCCCCCAGCATCAATGCATGGTCTTTGACAGGCTAACATGTCTCATGGATTGTAGGGAGCCATAGATGTCATATCTTGACTTCAGTAAGGCTTTTGATACTGTCTCACATGACCATCTCCTAAACAAGCTAGGGAAATACAACCTAGATGGAGCTACTATCAAGTGCATGCAGAACTGGTTGGAAAACTTCCCAGAGAGTAGTTATTAGTGGTTTACAGTCCAGCTGAAAGGGCATAACGAGTGAGGTTCTGCAGGGATCATTTGGCTCAGTTCTGTTCAATATCTTCATCAATGATTTAGATAATAGAGAGTACGCTTGTGATGTTTGTGGACAATACCAAGCTAAGAGGGGTTGCATGTTCTTTGAAGGGTAGGATTAAAATTCAAAATGATCTGGACAAACTGGAGAAATGATTTAAAGCAAATAGGATGAAATTCAATAGAGACAAATGCAAAGTATTCAAAGGAACAATTAGTGGCATGCATACAAAATGGGAAGTGGCTGTCTAGGAAGGAGTACTGCCGAAAGGGATCTGGGGTCACAGTAAAACACAAGCTAAATAAGAGTCAACAGTGTGACACTGTTGCAAAATTGAACATGATTCTGGATTAGCAGGAGTGTTATGAGCAAGACACAAGAAGTCATTCTTCTGCTCTATTCTGCGCTGATTAGACCTCAATTGGAGTGTTGTGTCCAGTTCTAGGCACCACATTTCAGGAAAGATGTGGACAAACTGGAGAAAGTCCAGAGAAGAGCAACAAAAAAGATTCAAAGTTGAGTACGGGGATTCTCAAATTTCATTGCACTGCGACTCCCTTCTGACCAAATTTACGACATGTCCCTAGGAAAGGGGGACTGAAGCCCGAATCCACATGCCCCAAAATGGAGAGGCAAAGCTGAAACCCCCTCCGCTTTGAGCTTAGCCCACGGTGGTGCATCTTGGGTTTCAGATTCAGCCCGAAGCCAAAGCAAGTCTAAAACCAGCTTTGGCAACCCCATTAAAATGGAGGCACAACCTATAGTTTGAGAACTGCAACGTTTAGAAAACATCACATCTGAAGGAAGACTGAAAAAACTGAGTTTGTTTAGCCTGGAGAAGAGATGACTGAGAAGGGACATAAGTTTTCAACTACATAAAAAGTTGTTATAAGGAAGAGGGAGAAAACATTAAGCTTGTGAGGATAGGACAAGAAGCAATGGGCTTAACTGCAACAAGAGCAGTTTAAGTTGGACATTAGGAAAAACGTGCTAAGTGTCAGGGTGGTTAAGCACTGGAATAAATTGCCTACGACGGCTGTAGAATTTCCATCATTGGAAATTTAAGAGCAGATTAGACACACACCTGCCAGGGTTGGACTAGATCAGTGTTTCTCAACGTGGTCTGCAAAACCACTTTGAGGAACCTGCAAACCGTGGCCACAGAGCTGGAAAATCTGCACACCAGAGCAGCCAGTTAGCAGGTTTCTCAAAGTGATTTTTTCAGACCATCTAACACTGGTCTAGAAGGTGCTTGGTCCTACCATGAGTGCAGGGGACAGGACTAGATGACGTCACGAAGTCCCTTCTAGTCCTACAATTCATGTCCCAGACATATAAGACCAAGTGAGTGCTGATGGAGAAGAGCTAACCCAGCTTCCTGGACTTGATGCAAAAGATGAATCAAAAGAGCTCCATGTGCACTTCGGCGTATCCCAAATTTGAGATTTTAATGGTTGTTTATTGAAGGCTGACAGTTCGCTAGAGAATTTCAAGGACAAAAGGAACTCAACTTTTAATCCTGGTCTCCTTTTTTAGGAGCCACGTTTTAGATGACTATCTCGAGTGTCTGTAGAGCAAGACAGGGGGAAGGAGACAGACCGTATCCTGAAGGGCTTACTTTCTAAGTAGATAAGACAAAGAATGGTAGGGGATACTGAAGTGACTTGCTGAAGTTTGCTGCTAGTAGAACCAGCTCTCTTGACTACCAATCCAGAACTCTAGTTACTAACCATATTACCTTTCCAGGCAGGTGAGCTAGTTACGTGTCTCAAGGACTCAAGTTATGCCTTCAATTTTTTGGTGCCCACAAAATTGGGAAAATAAAAAAATAAGGATGAGCTTGAAAAAAATCAGGCCTCCCAGTCCTGCCACAAAGAGCTCGCAAGAAACAAGAGGATTTTACGAAGCCGCCTAGGAGCAGATGTGTTTTTAGGGTTGGTTTTTAGAAAGTCAATGAAAACAGACTGTTTTATTTTCAGTTCTGCAATACTGAGAACCTAAACCCAACACTGCAGCGGCACATGGGAATCAGAGCTAACCGGAGTAGTAGTGATTCATGGTCTAAGATGAAGTGCAAAGAAGGTAAACAAAGAGCCTGAATGAGAAATCATTTGATTCCCCCCTTTTTAAATTCCAGCTTTCATATAGAATCATTTTTAATACAGCTAAGAATGCAATCTTTCAAACAGAGGGGGTACACACACTAGAAAGCAAACCTAATTTTACATAGCTGGATTAAAGCCTTTGTTTTGCAGCCGTTGCTATTTACGTGCACTTTTGTCGTAAGTCCCATGGCATGAATGTAAACAATAAAACAAAGCCGGGCTGTCAGGCCAATCCCAGAACCACACAGTTTGGTTCCAAATATGTTAGCTAACGAGCGTAGCAAATCAGCTTTGCGCTATTTGAATATTCCGGTTCCAAACTTCCAGCTGTTTCATTCTAGGCCAGATTCTTTGACACTTCCCCAGACTTTTGCCAAAGTAAGAGTGGTTGTGGAAACTGAGGGAAGATTCAGTCAGGCTAAAGGTTTCCAGAAGAATACATAACAAAGAAACCTCTGCATTCAAGGAAGCAAGAGGTTATTAGACTCTGGTAGCACAGCCACTTCTGTAGAAGGCAATAAATAGACCGTTTGGCTGCTTTCCTAAGAAAAGGAATCATTTTTGAGGACAAGCGATCCCTAAAATAGTTTGTAAAGTCCTATGGCATCTAACTTTAATTAATCCAATACCAAAACTAAGGAGGAAAAACATTGATGTAACATCAACCGGCAGGGAGAGTCCCAGAATTCCTCAGTGGAGGTTTTGAATGTGCTAGTGTCTCAGAGGCAGGGGGCTCAAATATTTAATTTGGCTCCTAACAAGAGCCTAGACAACAGTTATTTCAGCGCTTTCACAATGTTTTCAGGTTCAGTGCAAGAAGGCGCTTATAAACTGCAGGTGAGGCTTTGCGGTTAAAATCGGAAACCTCGGTGTTCCAATGGAAGGTTGTCGGCTTTTGTGCTGGCTTATTCTGACTGTCCCTGGAAGGCGAACGTGATCTATCACAATGCACGAAAAGATATTCAGAGGTCACAAAATGTGAACAAAGTAATCACAGTAGGAGCCTGCTTGCTTCCATGTAAACGGGAGCCAGGTTCCTTTTGCTGCTCACCAGCTTGGTGGAAGGTATATTTGGATCCGAAGAGGACAGCTTGACTAATTTTACTCAAATTACCCAGATGAGTGTGTTCTCTCTCTCTCTCTCTCTCTCTCTCTCTCTTTTTTTTTTGTAAAAACAAGGGTTAAGGAAAAATAGTCAGAAATCACCCTGAATGTTTGCTCTGAATAGCAGGGAAAGGAGTGCAAATACCTACCCCTCCCAGGGCCAACTAATCTATTAGGCACAGTAGGCACAGTGCCTAGGGCCCACGATATTTTAGGGGCCCACGAAAATGTTTTAATTTCTTTTAAAATCAGAAGGAAAAAAATGAACTTTTAGGGTCGAAGAAAATGTTTTAGTTTTTTTTCTCACATCAGCAAAAAATGAAACTTTTAGGGCCCACGAAAATCTATTAAAGTTTGCCTAAAACAGAAAAAAAATGTGGACGTATTTAAAGTTATATCAAAAATAATGTTTAATATTTTGTTTTTTTATGGAGGAAGGGGCCCACGAAGGCAAAAGTGCCTAGGGCCCACGAAAGTCATAATGCGGCCCTGCCCCCTCCCCACTGTTTTCAGCCACCTCTGCATTGTCCTATTGATTGTGGCGGGTCTGTTGACAGGAGGGAAATAAAGGGGGCAATTGTCCTGGGGTCTGGAGATTCAAAGGGGCCTGGAGCTCCCTGCTGCCAGAGCCCTGGGCCCCTTTAAATTGCTGCTGGAGTGCCAGCACGCTGTTCTCCGTGGCTCTGAGGGCTGAGGGCCTGCCACACTCTGGGTGGCACTAAGGCCTGACTGCCAGAGGGCTGGTGCTTTTCATCCGAGGCTCCGCCGTCCCCCACCGTGCCCCGCCCAGGGCCCCACTGGGTTAAAGCGAGGGCCAGAAATGTGAAACTGCAGCCTGTGAGATTTCCTGGACAGTAGCCTTCCTGGAGATCCTTATTCTGTGTCTTGCAGTAGCACCTTGAGGCCTCCAAGTTCACTATGTGCTACATAAACGCCTACTGAAACAGCCCCTGCCTCCCAAAGCTTTCGCACTAAATAGACAAAGGGTGACAGGCAAAACAGGGATGGGTGACTTGCCCTAGGACACCAAATCTGGCCTTCTGTCTCGCAGTCCATTGCCCTATTCCAGTGGTGGGTAACCTCCGGCCCGTGGGCCACATGTGGCCCACTGAGGCTCCACTGGTAGCCTGTGGACCTCCCCCACGTGTCTCTGGCGCATTGGGGCACTGGAGTCCCTCATTGCCTACCCCTCCCAGCGCTTTAGGGGCACACCAGTCACCGGATTCATGCTCTGCGGCGAGCCAGCTCTGGGAGGGAGCGGGAGGAGCGGGGACAGAGCGCTAATCAGTTGGCTCTGCTGATTGGCGGCGAGCCAGCTCTGGGAGGGAGCGGGAGGAGCGGGGACAGAGCGCTAATCAGTTGGCTCTGCTGATTGGCGGCGAGCCAGCTCTGGGAGGGAGCGGGAGGAGCGGGGACAGAGCGCTAATCAGTTGGCTCTGCTGATTGGCGGCGAGCCAGCTCTGGGAGGGAGCGGGAGGAGCGGGGACAGAGCGCTAATCAGTTGGCTCTGCTGATTGGCGGCGAGCCAGCTCTGGGAGGGAGCGGGAGGAGCGGGGACAGAGCGCTAATCAGTTGGCTCTGCTGATTGGCGGCGAGCCAGCTCTGGGAGGGAGCGGGAGGAGCGGGGACAGAGCGCTAATCAGTTGGCTCTGCTGATTGGCGGCGAGCCAGCTCTGGGAGGGAGCGGGAGGAGCGGGGACAGAGCGCTAATCAGTTGGCTCTGCTGATTGGCGGCGAGCCAGCTCTGGGAGGGAGCGGGAGGAGCGGGGACAGAGCGCTAATCAGTTGGCTCTGCTGATTGGCGGCGAGCCAGCTCTGGGAGGGAGCGGGAGGAGCGGGGACAGAGCGCTAATCAGTTGGCTCTGCTGATTGGCGGCGAGCCAGCTCTGGGAGGGAGCGGGAGGAGCGGGGACAGAGCGCTAATCAGTTGGCTCTGCTGATTGGCGGCGAGCCAGCTCTGGGAGGGAGCGGGAGGAGCGGGGACAGAGCGCTAATCAGTTGGCTCTGCTGATTGGCGGCGAGCCAGCTCTGGGAGGGAGCGGGAGGAGCGGGGACAGAGCGCTAATCAGTTGGCTCTGCTGATTGGCGGCGAGCCAGCTCTGGGAGGGAGCGGGAGGAGCGGGGACAGAGCGCTAATCAGTTGGCTCTGCTGATTGGCGGCGAGCCAGCTCTGGGAGGGAGCGGGAGGAGCGGGGACAGAGCGCTAATCAGTTGGCTCTGCTGATTGGCGGCGAGCCAGCTCTGGGAGGGAGCGGGAGGAGCGGGGACAGAGCGCTAATCAGTTGGCTCTGCTGATTGGCGACGAGCCAGCTCTGGGAGGGAGCGGGAGGAGCGGGGACAGAGCGCTAATCAGTTGGCTCTGCTGATTGGCGACGAGCCAGCTCTGGGAGGGAGCGGGAGGAGCGGGGACAGAGCGCTAATCAGTTGGCTCTGCTGATTGGCGGTGAGCCAGCGCTGGGAGGGAGCGGGAGGAGCGGCAGTGAAACGGGATTCTGGAATAAAGCTCTAAATCGAATTAGGTGGTATTCCTCGTGGAATGAGGTTTACCACCTAATTCGATTTAGGGGCTTTATTCCGGAATCCCGTTTCAATGCCGCGTGTAGACGCGGGCAGTTACTTCGGGCTAGTCAATTTCTAAAATGGCGACCGGCTGGGAACATGCAAATCAAGCGCGGGATATTTAAATCTCGGGCTTGATTTGGAATTCCGGTCGCCCTCATTAGCCTCCCTAGATCGATCTAGGGGGCTAGTGTAGACGTACCCATACTCTTGAAACACGGGTCTGGGTGCAATTCCCCAGCAGCGACCACTCACCAAGCCCCGCCTTTCTGTGCTGACCCCAATAAGATTCTAAACGTTTCAGGGCAGGGCTCTAGAGCTACCGCCAGACCGGGGCATTATTAGTCCTGTCAATGATTTGCATTGCAGCAGCAAGCGAGGGACCATGAGCCTGCAGGGCGTGTATACCACGTGATCCTTCCTCTACAGAGGTCACTTGTCTTATCTGCTTGCCCCTGCTAACTTCAACCCACACCTCTGGCCATTCTGCCAGGCCAGTGAGTGGGGTATCTTGCCCTGGGGTTGTCCTGATTGAGTTGGGGTTGGCCCTGCCTTGAGCAGGAGGTTGGACTCGATGACCTCCTAGGTCTCTTCCAAACCGGGTCTTCTGTGAATCTTTGCTGAGCTTCCATTCCAGCATTTCTACAGTGTTCTGAATGGACGCTGGCTACATGGGGACACGGTCCCTTCTCTGAAGCGCTTACACTCTAACATAGATGCCCCAAAACACAGAGCAACACACCAAGGAAGGGATGCTCTGGAGGGATCAGACCAGCCGAGTCTGATTGGGAGAGGAAGGATTTCAGGAGAGCAAGCCCTTGGTGGGGACTAGAAATGAGCGTCAAGTGCAAGAGGCAGCAGAGAACAGGCAAGTATCTAAGTCAGCAGGACCAAGTCACCACAGGCCCACAGGGGCAAAGTGGGTGAGGGAGTCTGGCTCTGCACCCCTGGAAGGGGCGGGGCCTTGAGTAGAAGGGGCGGGGTGAAAAGCAGCACCACTCAGACTGTGGCACATCCCAGCCCTCAGTCACGTGGAACAGCACTCTAGGCTCTTTTGAATCTCCGGCCCCCAGGCCAATTGTCCTCTACATCAGGCCCACTGAGAGGGTTTGGGGAGCAAAGTCCAAAGGGAGACATTTACTGCAGGGCAGAGGTCAATGCACCATTCTGATCCCCGTTAAGCTCTGCAATAGATTCATAGAACATGAGAACTGGAAGGGACCTCGAGAGGGCATCAAGTCCCGTCCCCTGCGAAAGAGGCAAGACACGACATCCAGGGGGCATGTCCCCTCTGCCTGGGGTGAATTTCACTCTACGGGTGTAGAGGGTTTTTAGGGAGAGCCTATTTCTTTGCATCTGTGCACAGGGGAGGTGTCTCCAATTCAGCCACGTTGGTCCATGCAGCCCTACAGAGTTGGCTCTAGCGCGAGCCTAGGCTGGGTGCCAGGCTCAATGCAAAACTCCGTACGTGGGTCTTACCAGCCAGCCTCTCCGCCAGCGTGAGGGCATGCACCGAGGGCCGGTAGTCGGGGGCGTGCTGGGCTTGCTGCGCCGCCTGCTGGTGAAGGTTGTACATGGCGCTCAGGGAATTCATGGCGTGAAGAGAGTAGCCGTTCACTCCGTAGTGCTGCATGGCGGCAGGCACCTAAAAAAACCCCCAGCAGAGAAAGCCTGGTTAGAACCTCACTTGGTCTATCTGGGGAAACAGCTATGGGCTGCTGCAGAGGGTCTCGGGGGCCCTTTCTGAACAGTCTCATTCGTTAGCTCCTTGGAAGATTTATTTGACATGGAATAAACATAATGCACCTAGGGCCTGATCCAAAGCCTACTGAAGGAATGGCAGGATATGCTGCCTGTGGAGAGCTTTGGCACCAGTGACCGTGAGACTGAGGCTAACGTCTGCAATGACCACATCATGACACCTCTCTTGAGGCCTAGCTGCCACCTTATGAAACAGAGTCTGATTGTGTCCCCTCAAATAGGATTCAGAAATGGAAAGAACTTTTTTTTCCCAAATGAAAGGCAATACAAGTGTGTGTGTGTGTGTGTGTGTGTGTGTGTGTGTGTGTGTGTGTGTGTGTGTG